TCTCTCTCTCTCTCTCTCTCTCTCTCTCTCTCTCTCTCTCTCTCTCTCTCTCTCTCTCTCTCTCTCTCTCTCTCTCTGTGTGTGTGTATATATATCTATCCATCTATCTATCTATCTATCTATCTATCTATCTATCTATCTATCTATCTATCTGTATCTGTAGAGGGAGCCCCTTCCCCCCCGCCCTCTTCCCTCCCTCTTCCCTCCCTCTTCTTCTTCTTCTTCTTCTTCTTTCTTTCTTCTTCTTCTTCTTCTTCTTCTTCTTCTTCTTCTTCTTCTTCTTCATGACAGTGTCAAATGCTAAGCTCTTGATGTCCTACGGTGAGACTGGGTAACAGTCACATCACGATGCAAGCAACCACCGGTCCACCGGTGTTGCCCCGAATAGATGCAAATTGAATATAGATGAATCATGGTAGATTTCAGGTATACGCGTTTTGAAAACTTACGTGGCAAACGTGGCACGCATACCGGTCTGCCCCTGTATTGGGACAAACAAACATGTTCTTAAATAGGGAAATTGCATCTGTACCCCATTTAAAGATGGGAATACCCGTTATACCCTCTCCCAGCACCTAACATGCATCTATACCCGGACCCGGTTCACCTTTGCATAGTACGCAAATTTCCTCCCGTGCCAAATTGTAGGCATGCCCTCCGTTGCAGACCATCAAAGTAGGCTAATGCCCAGAAAGGGGCTGGCCAAATTGTGGGCGCACCCTCACCCCCGGGGGGGGGGGGAGGAGCTTGGATGGTGGATAACAAAATTCTGCTCATGCCCTCCGCGCGGACCATTGTGGCCCCCTTACGGCTCGTGGGTATGAGCAGAATTACAGCCATCTAGTAGGGTATATGAATAATTTGGCCAGTCCACCACAGTCCCCGATATGAATTATGAACAGATAGTACTGCAAAGAACACGCATTCAGATAACGCATTCACGACGAACTTGTGACGTATAACACTATGGACGCGAAACACGACGCAAGCGAAAAGAAAATGATTGATTGATGTATCATTCTGCTCATAAATCGCCTGAGCATACCAACAGCCCAAGAAATTTGTGCATAGGGTTGGCCATAATTCTGCCTGAGTATAATTTGTACATAGCCCAAGAAATTTGTCCATAATTTGTGCATTCTGGTAGTTGGTTCAACTTGGTTGTAACTGCAGTTTTGGGGTACCAACATGGGCCCAGCTCA